GAAAAAAAAAAAAAAAAAGCCGGCCTCCAAGGCCGAGAATCGATATTAATTTCATGGGCTTATGGGCGGTGAGACCAAGCAGGTTCTGGCAGCCTCTCCCAGCCCTGCTGCGTTTACAGCCCGGAGCTGTGAAAAGAAGAGAGGAAAGGCACGGAGGGGTCTACCCTCACCAGCTGTCTGAGCCAGAGCGTCCGAATCCTCCCCCCTCCGTCCCCCAGCAGCGCTCCACAAGGCGGGTTGGGATGACAAGAAACGAGGGCTGAGCCCCGAAGACAGCCGACCACAAGGACTGTGGCTTTAGGAGGGGGTACCAAGCTCAGAGGGCAGGTGACGACAACAGGGCCACGCTGGAGAGCCAGCTTCCTGGGCCTCCCGGACTCCCTCCCGGCCCATCTGGTGTTGGAGCCGGGCAAGAGTGGGCTCACACGCTGGGAACCCGACTCCCCACAGCCTGCCCTCGGGTTCCTGTGTGGACCGACCAGCTGCATGGCCTCTTCCCTCCCTGCGTCCCCGCTGGGCAGAGCAACCCACCTGGGACCTGTTGCTTTCCTTCCTGGCCCCCAGCACCCTGCACTCCAGCTCCCGGAGTGCGCGCTTGGCGGAAACTCGGCCCCTTCTTGTGCTCGTCCCTGGGGAGACTGAACTTCTGACTCCCCGGTGTGCCGTGCTCTGCCTGGCACATAAGGTGCCCAGAGCTGAGGGAGGGAGGGAGGGAAGGAGGGAGGGAGGGAGGGAGAGAGGGAGGGAGGGATGGCCTGTCCAGGGCTGAAGCGAAGGTGCAGCTGTGGTTGGAGTCAGTGCTTCCCCTGACCTGATGTCACTCCTGGGCCTCCGCCTCCCCTCTGTGTGGGGCAGGTGGAGCCCCAGGTTGCCCCTGCCCTGACCCAGCTCCTCCATCCTGGGCTCACGGGACCCTCTGCCTGCAGGCCCCCGGCTCTGAAGATCCTCCTGACCAACACCAAAGTCCCTCGCAGCACCAAGGCCCTGGTGCTCGGCGTCAGGAACAGGCTGCTAAAGGTGCTGCTGGTTCCACCCATGGGCGGGTGTCCGGCAGGTGGTGCCCATGGGCGGGCGTCCTCCCTCTGCCTCGGGGTTAATCGGGGAATGGGATGGAGTCGGGGCTTGGGAAGGAGTTTTGGCAGGAAAGGAGGTGCTGTCTGTTCCCGCTCCAGCTGGGAGGCAGGGCAGGATCTTCCGGCATGCTGGCTTTGCAGCGAGAATCTCCTGCCTCTATTGGGCATCTGGGCAAGGCAGAGGAGAGGAGGTTTCCTCAGAGGGGAGCAATGGGACCCCTCCTCTCCCCCTCACTGCCCTCCTCCCCCCACCCCCCCTGCTTGCCGGGCAGCTGTCCAGGGCCCGCCCAGAGGCCTCACCGGCCCTTGTTTCCTTTGCCTCCAGTTCCCAGAGATCGTGGCCCCCCTCCTGACCTCCATGGACGCCATTTCCCTGGCATGCGAGCGGGTCCTGGGAGAGATGGCGGCGGCCCCAGCCCCGGAGCACTACCTGGTGCTGGAGGTAAGAACCCGTCTGCGGGACGGGTCACTCACGCACCCCACTATCTAAGGCAGGGGCTCCCCATCTGACTGAGCCCCGATCCCCAGGGGTCAGGCCTGAGCTCAGGATCCTGCGTGTGCACATGTGAGCAGCCGTGCCCTATCTTACGCCTCTTCCCATGAGGCGGAGTAAGTGAGAGAGTTCACGGAAAACGCTCAGCCGTGCGGTATGGGCTGGGTTACGGAACGCGCTTGGATGGATGTTTCTGACCGTCTTCCACGGGCCCAGGAGAGATCTCCCTTGGCCACCCCTTCCTGCTGCTTTTCTTAACTGCATGTGTTCACTCAGTAACTAGGACCTGCATGCCTTGGGTCAGGCACAGACTGCTATTGTTCTTTCATCATCAGTGTCCCAGCCCGCCACCCTTTGCATAATTCCAGTGTAGAGGTTGAGACTGCACGCTTTGGATTTAATTAGACTCGGGTCTGAATCCGGGCCCCACCCCGTGCAGTGTCTTAAGAATGCAGTGAGGTCTCCTGGGTGACGCGCAAGGACAATGCCTGCTGAGCCACCAGCTCCGTAAGCCAGAGGGCCTGGCCGCATCGTCAGACACGGTCCGTCTGGCCGGGTGCCTGTGGGCTGGCAGTAAAAAGCCATCTGGCTTCCCTGCGAGAATCACAGGACCGGTCAGCTACAGGTGCAGAAGGGCCCCGTGGTGCCCACTTCTCCGCAGTCCCCACCACCCCCTAAGGCTTGCCCACAGCTACCACCGTCTGCCTGGTGCCACCCTGTCCTGCTGTAAGCATTGGAGTCTGCAGCCCTGGAGTGAATGGGAGCTGCTACTCTGTAAGTCTTTTCAGAAGTGATTTCTCACTTGATCCCTACAACAGTCTACCTGTGGAGTAGGCACGTTGCCCCCATTTTAGAGGCATAAAAACGGAGGCCTGAAGGGAGCGACTTTCTCCGAGGTTTTCAGCCAGTGAGTGGCTGAGCCCGGGGTCAAATGGATTTATTTCTTTAGCCAACAAACGTTTAACAAGCACCTTCTACAGGCCAGGCACACGGACACACCTGACTGCTGTGCGTTTGCCCTCATTCCAGCCTGTGCCTGGCTGGCTCCATTCCTCTCACGTAGAGAGGAGGGTAACAGTCCTCCCGAGCAGGAAATTTAATGATGATAGAGCACTGCCCGCGATATGCCCCGCTGAGGCCCTGGAGAGCGCCCGGAACAGCACGTTGATGAGACATCGCGTGTATTTTTGGCTGTGGCAGCGTTGAAACGTGTAGCATGGCTCCCGGACAGCTTTGCGCTCAAACCAGCGAGCTGTTCTCCCGTGTCACAACCTGTCATCCAGTCCTGACAGATTTTGGATCAGAATGTGACAGGTGCCTGGAACCTGCCTCAGCCATGTGACACCTGGTGCTCAGGCTCAGAGAGAGGCCCCATGAGTCTTCCCTCACAGCCAGCCCTCGGGCCACTGAGACACGCTGGCCACCAGCCCTCACACCTGTCCGCCTCTTTGTCTCAGTGCTGGGGGGGAGGCGGGCTGCACAGACGGCTGATGATGGGCAGTCTCCATGGCTCACAGGCGCTCCTAGGACCCTGGAGCAGAGCTGTGACCCGAGCCACACCGCAAGGCAC